TCTTTTAAAAATAAGCATTTCTTTTAAGAGCAGCACAAATACCAAGGTGCATACCAAAATGATAGTCTATTAACTAGGTGGAAATAACATCGTATCTAAATCTTATTCAAGACATAAGATCTCATGTTTTCTCTTCTCATAACCTCGAGTGCTAAGAGACAGAAAGCCAAAAGGATTTTAAAACTGCTGTTATCTTTAAAACAAGAGGGAAAAGGATTTTGACACCATTAGCACCAAGATAAGAACACTAAAGAATGATAATCTTCCAGTAACATGATCTGAGCACATGGTAAAGTTGGAAAGCCGCCCATTTCAGTCACTGGTGCTGGTGATTCAGAAAGATGTATTGAAGCCTTGGGAAATGGGAATAGCGAAGTGACCAAGGAGGAGACCTGAGAAGTTCATCAGCACCTGAGTCACATAGAGGCCAGGCAGCAAATTGCTCATCTTAATGAATTGATTGTGCAATCCCCAGGTTTCTACCAATGGGTTTTCCTCCCAGTGACCATGACACTCAGGCACCAGCAGAGGGCACTACAGCAACCTGCTGCCCGAGAAGACCCCTCTATAGCCACGCTTGGGTGTTAGCCATTATAGGAGGATTTCACTGTTCATCACATTTAAGCTGAGATTTGGTGATGATCTGCTGGAATATTCTACTGCTTTGAATGATATTATTTCACAAGAAAGTGGCAGCCTAAGTGAGATACAGAACCTATGAGCATGCATCAGGGATTTGGACAGGATGAAAGATAAATGAAAGGAGGGATTCTGGGGGTAAATAGAGAGGAGATGAAGGAGGAAAGACAGACACTCCTGTTGGGTGCTACTTACACATGGGGTGGCAGTTCAAAGAAATTGACTCCTTGATAAAGTTCCATCTGGCTCACCGTGTAGATTCCCAGCTCCTGGTATGGATTCACTGATACAAGGAGAGTCCCAATGTATGTCTGAGGGAATGAACCAAGGCACCAGTGAGACATTCCAGGGTGCAGGTGGCTGCAGTGCAAGACCATCACAGCCTATGACTGTTCCATGTTGGGGGTCTAACATGGTAAGTGAGACTGGTGGGGTCTTTGCTCTTGTGGCGCTCACATGGGGCGGGGCAAGGTCAGACAGACAGACAGACAGACAACCAAGGGATCAGGATTACTGCAATCAGAGCTACATGCTAAGACAGGGGTAAGTAGACTAGAGGGTGCAGATGGCGAGTAAGGAAGCCACCTAGCTGGTAGCTAGGAAGGCAGAGACATCTAAGCTCAGACTGGAAGCGGGGCGGGAGGGGGAAGCCACCACTGTATGAAAACATCCGAGTCACGGGTTACATTACATAGATGAGGTTCTCGCTGAAACGCTTGCGGAGATTTTCCAGAAAAGCAGATTCACTGGTGTGTGCATCCAGCAGCACAAAATCCTGCACCCCGACCTTGTCCCGGGCCGTCAGCGCCCCTTCCATGTGCAGACGAATGTGCTTCCGCCTTACTTCTTTCTGCAGGAACAGGGCACCCTCACAGCTTAGTTCTTCGTAACTCCTATCAGAGGTCTGCTAGGCAAGGTGGCAAGATGCGAAGCCCCAGGGTGAGTGGAGAGTAAGGTCATGTTCTGCTGCCTGATTAGGACAAGATGATGGTGATAGGAGAAATGATGGCAGGAACGGGCATTTCCTGCACAGCATCCTGAATGCCTGCCTGTCTTATCCATTCATTTGCATTTGACCCTCTAGGGTGAGTAGTATCATCACACCCATTCTACAGAAGAGGACTCTGAGAACAGAGGTTATTAGACGCTTCCAGGACCTGCCAGAAGCGCAGTCAGGATATGGCCCCAAAGCCTGCTTTTCTGGTGCTTGTCAATAGAAGGAAAGTCTCGGAGCACGAGCTTATGAGAGAGCCCAGGTGAGGTCGTGAACCTGAGACACAGCCTGTTTACTGCCGGTAATGTACTAGTGGTTTCCAGACTTGTTCCCAAGGGGGTACAGGTAGAAGAGGAAGGGGACATGAGCCATGGAGCCATGGATGAGCCCCCTTAATAGGGGGCCTCTGGTTGTCATGTACAGCTTTAGATCTTTTGATTTCCTAAGTTATCTTGCCCTAGAGAAATACTGAAGCCATCTCTGCGAAGGAGAGCAAATGTTGGGCTCAGTCATTTTCCTGAAGAACGCATCATGGTGACACGTAGGTCCCCACTGTTGAAACCTTTAGCCGGTGCCATGCTCACGTGTGGGACTGGGAGGACATCCAACCCTTGCACAGCATCATCACTGCGCGGAGCCTGGTTTGACTTTAAATCAATGATTTTGTTCTCTCACTAGCTAGATCAAAGGCAGGAGTTTCCACATCCCTCATAACACGGTCACACCATCCTGCACTCACATAAATGTCACTTGCCTAAACTCACTACGTAATTCCCAAATGAACGGTGAGTTTGGTGAGAAAGGGAATTTATTGGAATGATTATTTTAACAAGGACAAATTTAGAGGGTCCCCTCCCCCTGGTGGGGCTTCGGACCACACTGGAGAAGGCATAGTAGCAACTTTGGGGAGAACAGAAATCCTGTTGAGTTACCAGGGTCACCTCCAACCACTGCCCCAGGCAAAACACCCCTCTGGGTACTGCAAGCGGACAGGGTCAGGCCAATGGCCCGGGGCTGCTCTTTTGCTTCAGAAGGGCCACGGGCAAAGGTGTCCAGGGCTCAGCAAAGCTGAGGGATGCTGCTGAGGTAGAAGACCAGTGTGTGAGCCGGTCGGAGTGCCGGCAGGCGCTCACCAGGCCCGAGTCTGGACTGCGAGGTCACCGAGGGACTCTAGTCCAGATACACTGCCAATGCACAGCTCCCAGGAGCCACTGCTCAGGGAAACGGGACCAAAGCAAAGCACAGCCAAGGGGCCAGGACGCGAAGGCTTCTGCTCCGCAGTGTCCCGCCGGAGCACCGGGACACAGCCCCTTCAAGGAGAAATGCTTAGGTGACTAGCGCTGTTAACACAGCTGGCGCTCCAGGCTGAGCCTGATCAGGGACACTAAGTTGGCAAAGGCGCATAAGGGCGGCCAGAGGCCCTAGCAGAGCCAGCACAACACTGAAAAGAAGCTAAGCCAGAGGACTCACGCTGTGTTGATTGATTTTTGACAACGGTGCCAAAGCAATCCAGTACAGAAAAGGATTGTCTTCACCAGTGGTGAGGGAACAACTAGATACTAGATATCCACAGGAAAAAATCTAATTTCAACCGCTACCTCACAACACACATACAACACGCACGGACACACACAGCACACACATGTATGCACCCACATGCAAACACGTATTCACACATATGAGGAGCACACAGCGTGTACACACATGTGCGTAAAGGAGTGCACACATGAGCACATGCATGTGGTGTGCATGTCAACAATAAACTTGAGGTGGATCTTGGACTTAAGTGTAAATACAAAAACCTATACAGCTACTGAGAGAAAACAAGAGAGTATCTTTGCATTTGAAAGAAGGCAGAGTTGTCTTAGGATACAGGAAGAAACAGCTATAGAAGAAAAAATGAAATTCAACTTCAGCAAATATGAACGTTCTCACAGGAAGACTATTAAGAAAATGAATAGACAAGCCACAGACTGGCAGAAAATGCAGGCCTGCAAAACTCCAACCCAGAATGAGATGCTCCCGCAGTGTCGTAGTAAAAACCCAGTAAATAATGGACAAAAGACTAAAATGGACACTTCTAATGGAAGCAGAAAACGGTCAGTAAGGACACAGAGGCTGCTCGCGTCATTAATCAGCAGGGAAATGTGAATTACAGCCGCAGTCCCCCGGAGGGTTTCCCGATCCCAGGAGCCCGCTGGAACGTGAAGTGGTGAAATCACTTTGGGGAAAGGTCTGGCAGTTTCTAATGAAGTTAACCACCTTCCCTTTGATCCAACAGTTCCATTCCCAAGTATTTACACAAGAGAAATGTAAACATATGTCCACAAAAAAGACTTGAACATGGAGGTTTACATCAACTTTCTTCAATGGGCTCAACCTGGAAACAATCCAAATTTCTATCAACTGGAGAATGGACGCACACATCTGCAGACAGAATGGAGCGATGAAAGGCAAATGGCCGCACACAATGCTGGGGCGGGGGTGCCCCAGACTCGAAGCCCAGGAAAGGGCACAGGACAAAGGGCGCCTGCCCGCGCTCCTCTCTGGATGACATTCTGGGACAAGCAGAGCTAATCTACAGCGAAGATTCAGGACAACTGTCGCTGGCGCAGAGGGGACTGTGGCATTTTTAGAGCAATGGAAATGTTCTCTATCTTGGTAGGCAGCGAGTTTCCTGGGTGTATGTACAGAGTTGCATGTGGATTTATGGAACTTTTATTTTAAAGAGAATAAGAAAGAATCAAGGAGGGGGAGAGTGGGTAGAGGTATAGATGAAATCAGGTTAGCAGAGGGTAGATATCCTTGAAGCTGGGGCCTGGGCATAGGGGGGATTTATACCTTTCTGTTTACTTTGGATTTATTTGAAATTTTCACTAATAAAAAGTTAAAAAAAAAAACAAAAAAAAACAGGCGGCCACCAGATGTCTCCCTTCCCTAGCCAAATGCAGCTAGAAGAACCGCCTGCTCTCAAAGTTGAAAGTAATGCACTTAGATGGAAGAATAGTGATTCCAATATTCCCATTTAAAAGGGCTTTTCCTTTTTTTTTTTTTTTTGCACTTATCTTTAAAGTCAGGCAGAACAGCTTACAGATTAAGCGCAATTTGGAACATGAGCTGTCCAAGTTCAAATCCCATCTCTGTCTCTTCCTGGTGGTACAACCTTGAGAAAGTCTCAATCTCTGAGTCCCTGTCTGTTTCATGCCTGTGAAATGGAATAATCATTGTACCGACTCCACAGGGCTGATGATTTGGACAGAGCCGTGCAAAGCCCTTGGAGCAGTGCCAGACCCAACGTCAGCACTCTGAATACTTGCTTGCTTCTGCCGTTAGAAACAAGAACAAGGGTGGGGGGGAGGGAAATCACCAGGCAGTCAGTCGTCAGAGAGGCTCTGTGAAGTCGGGAGTGGGCTGGAGTCCTTCAGGGTCTGGAGCTGCACCCAGAGACCCGACTAATCTTGCACAGGTGCAAGATTAACTTGCAAAGGCTGAAGCGAGTAGGGCTCAATGTGTAGCAATATTCCAATTCTAGTATCTGGGCTTCTTTATCTTTATTTTTCATTGCACAATATCTTTTTTAGATGGGGTTAAAGGGTCATTATAAAGGGCTGGGACTTGGGAACAGCCAGATGAAGAAATGCACGGGTCAAGGGGGGGCAGGTGGGGGGTGGAGACAGTTTTCCTGTTCTTTCCATGCAAACCACTCTCCCCAAATCTCCATCTGTGCAGCACCCTAGAAATGCCTCAAAATATCTTTGAAAGGACACGGGGAAACTAGTGTCGTAATGAGACTGACAAGATTGTCAGGCCCTGCCTGGTAGTGCACCGGGTTAGGACACAGCACTGCAAGCCACCCGCAGCCACTTCTGAGCTGACCCACATGGCGCGGCAGACCTCTCCTGACCCGCCCGCTGCTCCCCTCAGCAGTGTACTTCATCCATCTGTCTGTTCTGCTCCCCACTCTGTCTCTGGTGAAGCCTCTCACCGCCCCCTGCAGTTCTGGCCTGTACCCCAGTTCTGTATGCATAAGTAAATAAATCTTTAAAAAAAGAATATCAAAGAGATGAATATGAGAACAGAAGGGGAGATGGTAATAGATTGAAGTGGCTCTATTTTGACTGAAAAGATGATTTAGAGACTGTCTAAAAGGAAAATTAAATCCAGAAATGACCAAATAGAAGGAGAGGACTTGACTATGCCTAAGAAAGAATCACAGCTTGGGGGTGATAAGATACTGTAACGCAATGGGCAGAGCAAGAACCACTAAGTGCTGCTGGGGGTCCTGCAGGCACTGGGTAGGGCAGACTGGGGTGCTGGGGCTCACTCGGTGCCCCAGCCACACGCCGCTCCAGCCAGCTGACACCAGCACGCATGCGCCACATGTGGCCACTCCCCCCCACTGACGGAAAATCAGGAATTTAGGATTTCATAGGAATTTTCGTGGAGCACAGATTTAGCCTTTTCAAGCAGTTGAAATTCCACCTGTGCACCACACTCTCCAGACCACAAGTCACCCCTGTCGTGGATGGCTCCGCTGTTTCAGCTGAAATCGAGGGATTCAACAATTCCATTCTTCAGAAACGCTGTACACGCAGTGATGACATGCCCATAGCACCTTCTAGACAGCCCTAGCTAGTGTTCGAGCCGGGGAGGGAGTACAAGAAGTGTACCGGTGGCTGGGTGATTTGGCAGGCACTGGGTTGCTGGTAGACCTATGGGGGGGGGGCATCTGGGGAAGTCCTGAGACAAGGGATATCTGCAAACGACTGTGTCCCCTGCAATCACGGTGCCCAATTTTACTATTTGAGCACTTTCTTTATCGTCATTCTACACTACGACTTTATGGTTATTTGTAA